CCCCCAACCAGGTACCAGGGCTCAAAGTCCTGGGGCTGGAGCCTGCCATCCTACCCAGGTCTGTACACAAGAATTTCTGTGCGGGTGCTTTTTTGTAAGCATGGGCAGGACTACAGCTCCCAGAGGCCCAAGGGCTTTCCCTTCAGTGCTGTCCGGGCATTGGCCGGTGCCTTTCTCTGTTAGCTCTAATAGGGGTGGCTGCCATTTGGATCTGGCTGGATTTGCTGCAGGATGCTGGACATCTGCCATCCTACCCAGGTCTGTACACAAGAATTTCTGTGCGGGTGCTTTTTTGTAAGCATGGGCAGGACTACAGCTCCCAGAGGCCCAAGGGCTTTCCCTTCAGTGCTGTCCGGGCATTGGCCGGTGCCTTTCTCTGTTAGCTCTAATAGGGGTGGCTGCCATTTGGATCTGGCTGGATTTGCTGCAGGATGCTGGACATCAGTATCAGGGAGTGTGCTGGGGGCTAAGGATGTAGCTGGAGGAGCCCCCGGCCTCGCTCCTGGGGGGGGAGGGTGGAATCAGCCCCAGCCTTCTCCCAGCCAGCCAGAGCACAGGGGAGGGAGGCTGGGGCAATGTACCACCTCAGCCTTCCTCAGCCAAGCCAGAATTGGCCCCATAGGGGAACATGATAGACAATGGGGAGAGGAAGGGTGCATTCACACCCTCTGTGTATGGGCGTGCTACCCCACTGGGTTGAAGCCTGAGCCCAGCAGTCTCAGGAAGGTGGGAGAACTCACTTGCTGCCTGTTCTTCCAGCTTTTATGTTTCTGGAGAGTCTGCTGCTTTGTCCTCCTCTCCTCCCACCACCGCCCAGGAGCCTGTGGCTGCAAGAAACCCCTGATGACTGCATGCAGCCATGGTGTCTACATTTGAGAAACAGCTTAACCTGACTGTATAACTCAGGCCATAGAATTTCCTCCAAACAGTTCCCAGACCATCACTTTCAGAAAGACATTCAAGCTTGATTTTAAAACGGTCAGTGATGAGGAATTCATCATGACCCTGGGGAAGCAGTTCCAATGGCTAATTACCCTCACTGGTGAAAACGTACCCCTTCATTCCACTCAGAACCTGTCTAGCTTTGCCTTGTGGCCACTGGGTTATGTTACATATTTCTTGCTAGGTTGAAAGAGCCCATTTTCAAATGTTTCCTTTGTAAGGAACGGGTAAACCTTCGAACTGCTCATCTTTGTGGTGGGCTCCAACACAAACTAGCAATCTCTGAGCACAAACAAAACTCTAGTGGGGCTCTCACACACCCTTGCCTCACGATCCCCGTCTGACAACAAAAATTACGGCAGCACCCCAGGAGTGGGGCCTGAAGCCTGAGCCCACCCGAGCTCTGCCATTTGCAGTGGGAGTGGGGGCAAAGCTGAAGCCCAAAGTCTTTAGCTCCAGGTACGGGACCTATAACGTGAGTCCTGCTGCCCAGGGCTAAAGCCCTTCTGGCTTTGGCATCAGTCCTGTGTGGTGGGGCTCAGGATTTGGCTCCACGCACCCAAAAGTCTAAGCTAATCCTGGTGACCCCATTAAAATGCACTGGCTAGATCAATCCCTAAATGAACAACATAGCCTCTACGTCAGGTACTTACATGGCCTCTACGTCAGGTACTTACATGGCCTCAGTTACCTTAGCATCTGAGCACCTTATCTTTAATGTCAGTGCTTTTTTTGTGACAGTACTGCCTGGTACGCAGTACCGGCACCTCCAGACACAGTACTGGCGCCTCCAGTCAGAGCTTACCGGGAAAGAATGGAGCATACCTGCACCTCTGTATGCAAATGTCTGACAGTCAGCTGGACTGTGTGCCTTAAAGGGGCCACATCTCTTAAAAAGGCAATGGCCGGCCCCACCCAGGCTTTTTTTTTTTTTTTGCTTTTCCCTTTGAGTACCGGCATTTTTTTTTTTTTTTTTTACAAAAAAAGCACTGTTTAGTGTATTGATCCCCAGAAAGAACACCCCAGTGCGGTAAGGAAGTGTTGTTACCCTCATTTGAGATAGGAAACTGAAGCACAGAGACTAAGTGACTTGCACAAGGCAACACAGGTCTCTAGAAGGGCAGGGAATTGAACTTATGTCACCTAAGTAAGTCCGCGACTAGTGCTGTAACCACTGAGCCATTGTTATGGCAAAATTCCCATTGATTTTAATGGCACAGGATCAAGACCTTCTGGAGCTGCAAAATGCAAACCTCCATTTCCAAAATGCTTTTGTTTGAATGTATTAACCAACCCATTTTTTTGTTAAAAAAACTCCCATTTTACCCCCTTCCTCCCCTGAATTTTACTGCAAACCAAATTTTCAGCAATGTTATATTTACCATTTTGATGATGTTTTCAATTAAAATATAGAAAAAAAAGCATGAACTTCACACACAGAATAAAACATGTTGACGATTTGTTACTTTTTAAAAAAAAGAAAAATGGTCTATTTTCAACCAATGAACATTTTTGTTTGAAAAATGTTGACCTGCTTTACTCATTCGTGGGGAGGGGGAAAGAAGCGGAGGGGAGGGAGGGAAGATAGCTCGGGATATCAATGAGAATTTGCAAAGCCTTTCACCTCTGCCTCACTGAATGGAACATGACCTGGTTTGGTGAGGAGTGAAACTTAAAGCCCACAGAGTATCTGTCAGGAAGTATTATAAAGTGAGTGTGGAGGTAGCAGGGGTTCAGTTACTTCCTCACAGACAGGTGTCTACTTTCCAAAGCCATCATCACAGCTGGTGAAGACTGATTCTGCTGTTAGCAGTCTCTGCAGAGGCACCAAGCACTGATCGGAGAGTTTATTTATAAATATTTTAACAGAATGAAGAAGCAGGAGGAGTTTTAAATTTGCATTTCTTTATACATCCTCCCACTCAGAATCTGCAAGCTTAGTAAATCTGTATAAAACCATCACTGGGGACTGACAATGTGATTTATGAAGGCCAAAATACCCACAGAGCCAGAAACCTCCACTGAACAGCAGGCAATCTTCCTCTTCAAAATTATTTTTATTGCTAGAATTTAAAAATGCTCCAAAACATTAACATGCTTTCAGTTATGGACATGATCATTCCAATACATTCAGGCCATGTCTACACTACACAGCAGATCAGTACTGCTGTGGTCGATCGATTTAGCGGGTCTAATGAAGACCCAATAAATCAAACTCAGAGGGTGCCCTCATCAGTACTAGTTCTCTTGCTACTCATGAGGAGTAAGGGAAGCCAATGGGAGTGCTGTGTGGACAGCGCAGAAATGTGACTTAAAATACGTCAACTCTAGCTACGTAATTAACGTAGCTGGAGGTGTGTATCTTAAGTCAACCTTCCACTATAGTGTAAGTCAGGCCTCAGAGTGCAAGGTCTCCAAGAGAGTGGTGGAGCCCACTTTGGGTACTGAATCTCAGAGGGTTCAACATGAGAGGCTATGGTACCCTGGGCATTCTACATAAAGCATAAAGACTCTAGAAGATATGGTTCCAAGGACCAGTATGCAGGCTTCCAGGGGATGCTATAAAGCACCCAGGACACAATACAGTGCACCCTGAAAGTCAGGAGTCCACAATGCACAACTACTGCTTTACTGAGAAATGCGAGAGATGCTGACCCCACACCAGGAAGGGGTGAAAGGGCAGTCCCGGCCCTTAACTAGCACGTCGCATCTATGACAAGCCGACAGTCAGCCACGCTGAGGAGCCAGAGTACCAAGGCTGATTCCGAAATACACCAACAGAGTGGCAATGCCATCAGCAGGAGAGTTTTATTGCAAAAGCAGACGCATTTCAATAGAAAGGAAAATCAAAGCAGAGTAACAACACAAATCTAAAGTGACCTCATCATTTGTAAGCAAAGGAAGTCTGTGTCTTTCCTAAACCCTAATTCACTCCTTTCTTCCATGGTTCAAGGAGAGGAGCCTTTGGGCAGCTGCAATGTGGAGAATTACGTTAATTGTACAATAATATACATAATAGGGAGAGAATGTCCTCACGCAGCAGTGCAGATAAAAAGTCCTGAAAGCATACTGCTCACATGATTTGCAGTGAATATTCTCTTACCGTGAGGCGTTTCGAGGCATCCACTTCAATCATCCCCCGCAAGAGGTTCTGACAGTCTGGAGGGATGAAATGTGGCATGTGGAAAACACCCCGTTTCACCTTCTCTAACAGCTGCCGCAAGTTGTCATCGTCAAATGGCAGGGCACCCTGCAGAGACATGATAATGCAATTGTGGGTGGGAGAGAGGGGAAAAGAGGGAGGGCAAAAAGTGAAAAGTTGAGGAATTTGAAGAAAAGAAAAGAAAAGAAAAGAAAAATGGTAGCATCCCAGGGCATTAATTCAAGATAGCAATTTCATGTGCGTCCTACATCATCTGGAAGGTCACTATACTATTATAAAAAATGAAGCCCACCTTATTTACCTGTTAATAATTTCTTAGCATTGCTTTACTTTCTATTCCAACATGAAAACAGAATCTTGGACAAAGCCCTTTATAGAAAACTTTTTAAAATTGGAAAATGAACAAGCGAATAAAACATCATGCAATATATGGTGCTGCTTTCTTGGGCAAATTCTTAAAAGTCACAGGGATCCACTTAAATTCAACTTAATATTTATTAGCAGAGAAGGGGTCAGCAACATTCAAGTAACCACATCCAGATTAGTGAGAAGTGCTTGACCTAAGTCTGAAATGCCCCCCACAAACAATCGAAAGTGGTCCCTAGGTTGCAGCTAGTGACCACAGTCACATTGTGCATTGTCTTTCTTTGTCTAGATATGTAAGAGAGAACACTTGTCATGTGATTTTCTGAAATGATTCAATGCCGACTATTGTTTCTAAGGTAGGTTAAAAGCTGTGATTTTCTGGGTCATCAACCAGGAGTTTGTTGGGACATTAGCAATATTCCAGAATTCCTTCCAGTATGCCTTAGGACAGCAGTAGAATGCTTTAAGAGCTTGAAGGTTTTGGTGGTCCACTGGATGGAAACATGATATTATAGTATCACCAGAAAATCTCTCTTCCCAAAAATTATTGGCATGATCTTAGTAGGTGTGCTGTGTCCTTGATTCCCGTTAAAATCCATGCAAGTTGTGTGTTCTCAGCAACACTTATAGCCAGGCTTATAGTCTGAATTTCAGTATTTACACACTGTTTACTTTGATTCATGGAATGCTGGTGTAGAGTAATGCTATGTGTGTGTCAGACTGAGACCAACATATCTATTTACAGAAGCCACCAGAAGCCCATTTGATGCTAAAAATCATTGGTCATTACTAATCTATGTTTTTTTTCATACAGTGGACTAAGAAGCAAAATGCCTCATACAAATTACCTATCCCTCCAGTTATCTAGTTCCTCATAACTGTTCAGGAAATAAAGTGAAATCAATATTGAGAGTTAGGTACTTTGGTGAATGTAACATAATTCATGATAAAATACAGCATTTCCTGGAGATAGCAACTAAAGGCTGCTAATTACTAGCAATTGCTTTTATGGCCTAAGACTTTTTGTGGATGTTTCGCTTGATGTAATTAAGTTGGTGCTTGGCTCTGAGCATCAGTGATGGGCATGTTTTGATCACTCTACAGGGTCAGGTTTACACACAGAAACAACCAAAGACATTTTTCAGAGACCGTGGGGTACAAAATCTCAATGGGAAGCCTCTTGAGAATGGAATACGCACTCTGACAACTCCCGGACAGCTTTCCTGGGTCTCTTTTTCCTGTAGTTTGCAAAGGTCAAATCATGAGCTCCTGACTCAGCAATTCCCCACTCTCTTTACTCAGGCAAATTCCCATTGGATTTCAATAGATGTTTGTCTGAGAAGGAACTGAATAATAACTGTGCAAGGACAACAGAATATGCCTCAAGGAGTTTTATTGTTTGTAACTATAGATGGTCATTTGACATATTACACAAAAAGAAAAATAATTTCATACACATTACATTTATCCTACTTGCCACTTATGCTTATGTGAGTGTCATCCAGATTTTGTGTATAAAGCCAAATGGAGGTAAAACTCATTTGATTTCAAGTTCTGTTAAAATTTTTGTCTGGTTTTGGGGTTCATAACACCTCTGTAACTCAGGACCAGAAACCTTTTACTGAGCCAGGGACAAAATCTGAAACAGCATATTTTGGATGCCAGGAAAGGAATTATTACTTGTGTGGAAACCAGCTGAAAGATGGTACTTTTGGCTCAATTCTACATTCTCAACTGCACTAAATGCATTTTATGGAGGCTCAAAATTGGCATGAGCCACAGATGTTACACTTCACTCAGATCTTTACAAAAGCATTTGAATCAAGATGCATGCAAATGTAATTAAAACATATGCCAATCCAAACCACTTTCCTGATCCTATGAAGTCAGCTGAGGATCTTCCATCCCCTGAAGTTGCAATCCTGACTATCCTACCCCTCGAGGGCCAAATTACATTAATGAGTATTTAAAAAGTTGCCCCACAATAAAAGAGTGAGTATACAGGGGAGCAATTTTCCCACAATCCCTTTTGCTCTGCTGTCCAGGGTGGCAGCCCTTCAAAGGAGAAGTAAAACATTTGTCAGGCATTTCCCTTTGGGACTGATGTAGAGAAATAGAAGACGCAGCTAAGAGTTACAGGAAGAGAGACGGAACTCAGGAGAGACTTACATGATGTCAGTAGACTTATGAAATACAACCTCACGGGGGGAGTAAGGGCCGTTTCTGTTTAAAGGAGGTAGCAAGGATGATGACTCACCACTAACAACGCAAATAAAATGACTCCACAGCTCCAGACGTCCGCTTTCCTCCCATCGTATTTTTCTCCCTGTGCAACAGAGATAGGAGTTTAGCTTATTAGTAAGAGAATTAGCCACCCTTGAATAATAGGGGAGAGAAGCGTGGGAGAGCTGAAGTTTTGATGCAAAAAGCTGCTTTCCTGGAGACCTATGTAAGTATTAGCTTTGGTGGGGCCCAGGGGTTCTTGGGAAACTCAGTGTTACAATCCTTGTTTGGAGGATGTGAGAAAGCAAAACCTGCAATATGGGAGGGAATGGCCACAGAGCAGTAAAAGCACTGAGGAGTCAGCACTTAATCAGAAATGTCAGAGATGCCTTGAGGACAGCAAGAAGCTGCTTCTCTCCTGGTTAGCTCTTTATGGAGCTTGGAATGGGTCATATTATTTGCCAGCATGTAATGTTTTCTGGCAATTCTCTCCTATTGATTTTCTGAGCCACTTGGCTTCATATTAGTGCAGAGCATTAGCAGTTGGGAAGCCTGGCCTTTGGTGTTCTGGGCCACCAGAGCCTAGTCAGCCAGCCTTCGAGGGGGAAAGAAAGAGTAGGAGAAAGGTGTAGCGCCTATGTACTCAACAGCAAGCCAGTGACAGTCCAGTCCAGCTTTCCCCAGCTTGAGGGGATATTTAGAGGCTCAACAGGGGACATGGAGACCAACGGAACACAAAACCATTGTACTTTTGGCTCATCATGCAACTGAAGTAGATGGGTCACCTGTGCCCTCCGAGAATGACATATGTTCATGACCTTTATGCTGCTGGTGAAACTCACTTTTGGGCCTTGTCACATGAATGGAAATGATGGTCCTATTAAGTATTTGCAGTGCTGACGGCTTTGGGATCACTCGTAGAGGGTGCCTGCTTGCATTCATATAATGAGTAATATGCTTTTATTTACAGATGCTGAGAGTTCAAGCTAACTTACCCGGATCACTTCAGGGCAGGCATAATGAGGTGACCTGTAAAGCAAAACAAAATCAAATGAGCATCTAAATCTATACGTATTAAATGCATGTGTAATCTGCCCATCACAGTGGTATCTGGGTGCTTCTGCATAATTTAGGAGATACAGAACAACATTCCTTTCTCTGACCTTTGCTTAAACCCCTTTGAAAGACAGAATCAGACCCAGGAAGTAGCCCCCCAGAAGAATAATCCTCACATATAAGTAGGTGAAAATCTGTGGTAACAAATGCAACTTCAGTTCGTCCTCTGATACATATCTCCCAGGAACAGATTTCTGAGTCCCGATCACACTTCAGCAAAGCCCATGGAGGACAATGAAAAGGTACTGATTTCAGTGGGCTTTAGAGGCCCATTGTGACCAGGGGTTTGCCGTGAAGAAACTCATGTTCTTGGGGACCCACTTGGAACCTAGAAGGTTTAGTTCATATTGTTGGAGACATAGTTATATGTAGCGTCAAGGATTAGGGGAAGCCCACATTTCCATCCAACTCTCACACAGCAATACACTCCGAAAAATGCATGAGCCTGTATTAGCCCACAACGCCCCAGCCTGGTGATTTACATTTCAGCACAGCACTTTTCTGCGGCGAGGATGCAACTACCAAAGATCACATATTCCTCTGGTCCACTTAGACTAGGATAGAGGCCACTGGGATGGACCCTTACGGGATTCAAATGCATCATGGCTCACAAGTGAAACTATTATGGCAAGTGACAGAGACCCTCACAGGAATTTCTACCCATTCTAAAACAACTGCAGAGTGGCCAGTCTTGGCTTAGGGGAGATTCAGGTCAGGGATGAAGACCAGTAACAGGCTTTGGGCTAGAGTCCAGGGCTGGACTAGCAAAGCAATTTGCAGATTGGAACTGAGGTGCTTAGTCAGAGCAGTGTGAGGACCCGAGGAGGGAGGTGAGTCAGTGCATGTGAGAACCAAAAACAGCCATTACAACTTGCAGCAGACAGGGTATAAAAACCAGGGCCATACGCAGGAATTTCTGTGTGTGTGTGTGGAGGGGGCGGGGTATGTGTGCTTATTTTTGTAAATGTGGACTGCAAGGGTGTGAATGCACCCACCTTTGTCCCCCCAGGAAGCGGGAAAATCAGTCCCAGCCTTCCCCCGGGTGGCCAGAGCATGGGATAGGGAGGCTCAGGCAGCACGGTGCTCCTGCCTTCCCCTGGCTGGCCAGAGCACGCTTACTTGGGAGACCATGGGGGTGCTTTCACACTCTTTGCATCCTCCCACGTATGGGCCTGAAAACAGTTTACATTTGACGTTCGACATTTGGTTCCTCCAGCCTATCGGCTAAGTCAGACAGGGCTGGCCTCTACTACAGATTAAGTCAATGTAACTTATATTGCTTGGGGGCTGTGTAAACAACCTCTCCTGAGCAATATAAATTACATTGACTGAAAGCACTTTCCACAGTGTGCTATGTTGGCGGGAGATGTTCTCTGGCTGACAGAGCTGCCACCTCTCATGGCGGTGGAGTCACTCTACCGAGGGGAGACTACTCTCCAGTTAGCATAGCTTGTCTTTACCCAACATGTTGTGGCACTGCAGCTGCTTTGGTGCAGCTGTGCTGAAGGAGGGTGGCAGGGGAGACTTGTTTGGAGTGAAGGAAATACTAGAGTCACAGTGGCTTTCTATGCAATGTCCTCTTGAAAAAGTGCATTAGAATGTAGGGCACCGTCAAGACACTTAAATGGACCCCATCACCATCGTAACTGAATTTCTCATGATTTTAAATGGACTTTAACCTCCTAACATCCCTGTGAGGTAGGGAAGTACTATCCCTGCCCTACAGATGGGGAACTGAGGCACAGGGTAGATAAAATGACGTGTCCATAGTTACATAAGAAGCCAGCCACCCTGCTAGGAATAGAATGCAGGTCTGTTCAGCTCCAGTTCTGTGCCCTGTGTGCTACACCACCCTTTTTACCCTGTAGTAGCAGACTATATCCCCAATCACATTCATATGATGACATTCATCCCTTCAAAAGAGAGGGGCCTCAGTACTGCAAAATCTCCATGTAACCTGCCTACCCACATATCTTCCTCTGCCTGCTTCCTCAAAGCATCATAGTCTTCTAATGGCCACCAGATTGGTAGGGAATCTTACAGGATTCTTAAAGGATTCCCTTTGGTGGAGTCTATTTGAGCTCTGACAGAAGCTAGGAGAAGAGGATGGGAAAATGACATAAAAATCCCATGGAACGCTAATCTAATCAGATGCATAGAAGCACTCACTAACCTTGTGCAAGGTGTAAAAAAAATTCCAATGAACTGTGGAACAAACTGGCTCACTAAATAAATGATGCCTGTGGAACTGGGGCATTTTGGGGGTTAGGATAGGTGGATAAAGCTGGGGGAGAGGAAGCTGGGTTAACCTGAGCATTCAACAGCTGTGTGGCAATTACCAAGAGAATATAGGCTTCTGGTATCACCACTCTGAATTCATGTCAGGGCAGCTTATCTCTATGGCCTTATCTTGGCTACATGCGATCCATGGGCTAGGCAGAATAGGTAGAAAAATTAATTTCCATGCTGCCAATCAAAGAGTAACGTCAACTGTTTTCAAGAGAAAAACTCAAATGTAATCAAAAACCTATTTCTCTTTCCACAGAGTCATGAATATTTCCTCGTCTCTTATCACTAATTATTCAATGTGTGTATGTCTAAGCAACTTTCTCTGCTTCTTCCCCCAGGCCATTCTCCTCATCTTTCGTCTACATCGCTATGCGGTAAAGCCACACTCTGCCTTTGATAACAAATAATATCACTCAGCAAGGTCAAGAAGCAGCTTTTGCCAGTGGGCTCTGCTGTGAAGAGGTACCCATGCATTGCTTGGCAGGCCATGCTGACTTCCTGGGCCTTGCTCTGCCCAGGGTATCAATGGGTCACTGAATGGTCATTCTATTAGCCATGGCCTCTGGAGGACACAGTCGTTCTCGGTGTGGCCATTCTTCAGGCCCCAACAGCTGGAAGGAGTGTGTTCTCAGGAGTGAACTCACTCGGTCTCTGCTGGCCGTATGCCCCAAGTTTCCCAGGTGTGGTTGTGTTTTGCTCCTCCTGCAACTGGCTGGTGTTTCTGCTACTGCAGGGGCTACCAGAAGCTGCTTCTTCTTCTCCCCTGCTGCTCTTTCCTGGATCCCACTTGGCTTTCAGAAAGTCTGATTGCAGCTCTCTTGGCTGCTCATACCTTCTCCAACAGGTGGAGTGCTACGGTCTGAGAGAAAGGGGAGCCCCACAGGAAATGGAGCAAGAGGAAGAGAGAATTCTGCCACAGGAAACTGTAGATGGGGGAATCCTACTACAAAGGAGACAAAGTGGCAGAGATGGACTTGAAAGGAGGATACCACAGTGAAGGTCTGGAAAGGTTTATGCGCAGGGAATTGGGCTATACTATGGTGGTGCTGGTCAGAGCTGGTCTTAGGGGCGAGCGAGCCGGGCAGTTGCCCAGGGCCGCCATTTTCAAGGAGCTCCCGACAGAGTCGGTCTTAGGGGCGGGCCATGACTGCATTTCGGCCCGACGTCCTGAGTCCTCCCCCCAGGTTTCTCTGGTTACTCCTCCACCCTTTTTTTTGTTTGACAAATTTTCCCCAGGTTTTTTTTTAAACTATATGGCAACCCTATGGGCGAGCTGAGCGGTCGCCTGGGGCCACCAATTGGTTAGGACCGGCCCTGGTAATAACTCTACAGGTAAGACTGAGTTCTGTTTTTCATATAAATCAAAGGCTCAACCTGTTTGCTTTGTCTGAAAAAGACAACATATCCTCCCCGACTGTGCATCACTTCAGCATGAATGAGTTTGCGGAGAACTGCCAAGGAAACCCATTCATTAGTTTACACATTAAAAGACATTACGAATGGGGTGTTTTAAGAAATCCAGCATCTGTGGCAGTCTTTACATTGTCCCAAATGATCTTGATGAGACAATAACAAAGACACTTCCACACAACGATCCATAGAGTTAAAAGGAATGGACGTCGTGTACGGAAGAAAGTAAGTTGGCCTTCGTGGTGATGGAGGTGGGGGTGTGAAGTCCTGTCTACAGAGGTGTGAAATATAAGTGTGGGGGTATTGGAAAGTGAGCCCACCTTGCACTCACCTGCAGCAATGGCTCCTCTGACATGGGGTAGGCCTGGCTCCCTGCTCTAGTCCCTCAGCTCTCACCACAGTGCCATGTGACATGCGCATTTGTGCACAAGTGTGGCCCTTTCTCCCAATTCCCTGTTCCCTTTTTGGTCCCTGGTGGCACCAGATTCCCTGTCCTGAGCTGGGCTGTGGTGAACCAATACAATGATCTGCTGGGCCAGATGAGGCCCATAGTGCCCCAGCTGCCCAAAGCTGCCTTACACTAACAAATCAGTGGGTTTGTCTTCACTGCAGTGTTAACCTGGGTGATCATTACCTGGGTCTGAGCAATTGAGCAATTGGGTTAGCCCAGCCTGGTCATGAGAAGCCCAGGCTAGGCTACAATGCCACACTTGAGTTATTTGGCCCACTCAGCCAAGTGTGTGACTAGCATTACTGGAAGCATATCTCATGGTTCTTCGCACTGCAGGAAGCTGAGCCATTCTATGACTCCTTTCCAATGAACTGCAGGAGAACTTGCCTGTCTTTCTGGGCACATGGTGGGAAGTGTGGGAAGGCCTTGGAGGACTATCAACACTTGTGTGGTGTAGCCTGCATCCCTACTGCAAAGTGGGTGAGATTTTAGTTCAAGTGCAAGCAGCACTTGAGTTTTAGACTATACATCAGGATAGACCCAACTAGTCCAGGTGCAAAGCACCATTTCACTCACGCCAGAAGACTGTGTATGTCAACAGGAGCTGGGTTGGGGCAACATCTGAGTTAACTTTACTTAGAAAATATGCCCAACTGCCATTGAAAGGCCATATTCACCTGTGCATATTTGGTACTTTGAGCTTTTCTGGTGTACTCGGCTATCTGTCTTAAGTTAAAATTGAAAAAATAAAAAGGTATAAGAT